TGACAAGTGCTAAATGAAGTATTTATGTGGTCTTTGGTGAAAGAAATGAAATGAAATGGGGTTTAACGTCCTACTGTTCTGCTCCTAACCTGGGCTAATGAAGACGAGCATATGCCATACAGTGTGCTATGAGGGAAATTTTGCCTGGGCAGCGGGGCTACGGCCTACTCTTATATCGAATTCCAACTGCCAAGGGATCTTTTACGTGCACGCCAATGTCTACACGGGACCCCGTTTTTTTGTCCCATAACGACTAGACAGCTGTCCTTGTCAGTCCCTCTGTCCTGCATCACTGACAAGGGAAACCACGCCGGAAAATCAGGATGAACTTTCTCGGCCAATACAGGGATCAAACACCCGACCTCCAGGCTAGCGAGCCAGCGTCTTACCCACTTAGCCACTTGATCCCCCCCTTTGGTGAAAGAGAGAGAGAGAGAAATGGGGTTTACTGTCCACTGGACACAAACTAGGTCATTTCGGGACTAACATGGTTTAATTTTTCATTTACATAATTCGCTTGCGCGTAGGGGTCTTTAGCAGGGGGAGGAAACCGGATGACCCGGAGAAAACCCACGAGGTTGGACAGGCGACCCTACTCCTTGCCACGTACAACCGGGGATTCGAAACCGCGCCAGTCAACTCAATGACAGACTTTATGATACAGCGCGCGCACGCTAACCATTCAGCCATCCACCCCCCCCCCCCTTTGGTGAAAGAAAACAGAGCTGTGGCTAGTGAAATGAAAGTTTAACGTCCTACTGTTTTGCTCTGAACAGGGCTAATGAAGATGGGCATACGCCATACAGTGTGCTATGTGGGAAATTTTGCCCGGACAGTGGCACTACGGCACTTTCAAGGGCTCTTGTACGTGCACGCCAATGTGTACATGGGACCTCATTTTTTTGTCCCATTTTAATGACTAGATAGCTGTCTTGTCTAGCCCTCTGTCCTGCATCACTGACAAGGGAGAACCACGCTGGAAAATCTGGAGTAACTTTCTCGGCCAATGCAAGGATCGAACACCCGACCTCCAGACTAGATAGCCAGTGTCTTACGGACTTAACCAACGTGATCCCCGTTGTGGCTACAATTCCTGGATTTGAAGGTCAGGTATGATATGAAACGAATATTTTGAACCAATGCAACCAATCTGTGACGGGTTAACTGATAGAGGGTTACATCCTTGATATAAATATACTTGTCGCAGGTTTTAAAAATAGAAAGATACATGTATATATAAAGGTAGCTCAAAATTCATCTCTACATATACATAGGCCATGGGGGGATCATGTGGCTAAGTGGGTAAGACACTGACTCGCTAGCCTTGAGGTCGGGTGTTCGATCCCTGCATTGGCCGAGAAAGTTCATCCTGATTTTCCGGTGTGGTTTCTCATTGTCAGTGATGCAGGACGGAGGGCCTGACGAGGACAGCTGTCTAGTCGTTTGGATGGGAAAAAAAAAACAAGGTCCAGTGTACACATTGGCAGTTGGAATTCGATACAAGAGTAGGCCATAGCACTGCTGCCTGGGCAAAATTTCCCTCATAGCACACTGTATGCCGTAACCTTTTGCGTCTCTTCAAAATATTTCAAATCTTTTGTCATGGATCAACCATTGCAAATATCCGTGTTACAATTATATTTGAAATGTGTTAAACCAATTCTGCAACACATGTAATATTGGTGTAGTATATATCTTTGTTTATACACCCACATATCAATTTTGGCCCTGTTTGTCCGTACACTGGGTGTGAAATGTGAATCATTCCGATTGTGAGAGGACAAGCATTATCAATATACAGCTTTTCAGGACTTTGCCTTCCTTGGTTAATTCTCCTTTTTTCAAATGCAATAGATGCTGTCTTTATTCTTAATTGATCTTTTTCAAATTTGTGTTACACACTGGAATCATGAGAGGACGAAACCTATCAATATTCAGTATTCCACAACATTCCATTCCAGTGTCGGCCGAGAAAATTCTTCGTGATTTCCAGACTTGGTTTCCTCCCCTTGTCAGAGGTGCAGGACAGAGGGCCTGACAAGGAGGGACAGCTGTCTAGTCGTTTGGAAGGTACGAATGACCGAGGTCCTGTGCACACATTGGTTCGCACGTGAAAGATCCCTTGGCAGTTTGAATTCGATATAAGAGTAGGCTTTAGCGCCGCTGTCTGGATAAAATTCCATAATAGGACACTGTATAGCATATTTCCATGTCATTAGCCCTGTCGGAATAGGACATTAAACCCCATTTCATTTCACTCATTCCAAAGTTAACTCCTATTCCATCAATACCTTGAGCAAATAAGATAGAGGCTATAGGTTTTGGCCCAATTTGGTCAATATCCCAGTTTTTTCTTTCTTATATGCATATCAACACTTTCATAGCGCTAATGTAGACCTTTTTCTTGAACATTTTCCCTTGTCAGTGATGCCGGACAGAGGACCTGACATGGATGGCTGACTAGTCATACGGAAGGGACAAAAAAAACCAAGGTACAGTGTATACTCAAGTGTGTGTGTGTGAAAGATCCCTTGGCAGTTGGAATTTTATATAAGAGTACGCCATAGCTCTGCACACTGTGTGGCATATGCCCGTCTTCATTTCTCAAACAGCTGTGGATAAAAACTGTTAATATTTAAATGTGTATTTTGTATTTTATAACATTATATTTTTGTCTTTTAAATAAAGTATATGTATACATACTTGTAGTATATTTTGTCATATAATTCTGCTAGATTTTTAACTTTTCTGTGCAATACATTTAGAATTCTGACTGGTTATGGGTAGATAGAGAGCAGTGGGGTAAAACATCCAATAGACATAAACTGTCCTTTGGGACTAAGTGATTCAATTCAAGTTGAATAATTCATCCGCACCAGGAATCTTTAGTAGTAGGAGGACCCAGAGAAAACCCATGTTCAAGTTGGGTGTGGAAAGAAACCACTTGACTCAATGACAGACCTTATGATCTAAAGCGCACACGTTGGACCACTCAACTTTTAGCCTCACCCACGGGTCAGGAAAATTTGATTATTGGTTGAATGTACTTCCCATTTACTGCGGCGAATAATGAATAATTTTGAAGGTTTTAATGCTCATCAAAATTTGACATTAGAATTGCATCCGTAAATGATGTTAATTTAATGTTAGATTTACGTTATAATGGTCGGTTAGATATCCATCATTTTGCTCATCCTTTTAACGACAATTTAACGTCAGGAAATGACGTTAATCTAGCGTAAAGTTTACGTCATTTTTATGTTATATTTACATCATTTTCTGACGTAAATCTAATGTAAAGTTTACGTCATTTTCTGACGTAAATCTAACGAAAATGACGTAAACTTTACGCAAATTTTACGTTAGATTTACGTCAGAAAATGACGTAAACTTTACGTTAGATTTACGTCAGAAAATGACGTAAATATAACGTAAAAATGACGTAAAGTTTACGTTAGATTAACGTCATTTCCTGACGTAAAATTATCGTTAAAAAGATGAGCAAAATGATGGTAAACTGACTGACCATTTTTACGTAAATGTAATGTAAAATTAACATCATATTGTTATGTGGGTAACGTCTGGAGCCATCCAAGGGAGACAATCCAATCAGACTTGAAGTGCAGTAACTGTGTGTGTTCCGAATATATTTTGTTTTAAAGGAGCTAAATCGCTGTTATTTGGGACCTAGAAATTGACACAAATGGGTCGCAACGCATATAATAATGTAATATGAATGTATATAAACTGATTTACATTCGATCCTTTCTGTTTTTATTGTAATTTCTAATCAGTTATGTTCGGCGAAATACTCCAGAAGTCTCAATCGAATGGCAATCTCAAGCGTTTGGTTATTCCAGTCTACACCGATAGAGTATTTATTGCGCATGCTCTTCAGATAAGAATATTGCGTCACCGTTTGACATGACTTGTGTACCAATGGTAAAATGTTTATTTTGTCTTAAATATTGGATATCAGAAGCCCATCTTTTCTCGGTAAGATCACAACATCAATGTTTTCGTGTTTTCAATGTTGAAGATTTTGGATGATTTTGAGTTAAAGACTTAGCTACTTCAAGGTTCATTCAACCGATGACCGATATCCGTTAATCTATTGGTATTGTGTATCGACCAGGAACACGAGGAAGCGGCATGATAGTAAGTTTTTTCGTGATCAAATTGATAACACCTTGTGGGAGAGGATGAACGGGCACTGAACCCTAAATCCGAGAAATTGTAGGAAGACTACTATTAATCCTAACCTTGTGTACCGAACAGGTTATCGGATACATACAAATCTCTGATCGGCCAATATCCATGTCCTTGTAAATGCAGGCAGGGCTGTAACTAGCCCAGAGCAACGAGGGGGACGGGAAGTGTTACCAGTGTCGGGGTGCTGTAAAATTGACGGACAATGTATATCTATTGTTTTAATGGTCGACAATTTTTTCACAGGGGAGGGGGGGGGGGACTTTTTGCTGTGATGGGGGGGGGGGCTAATTATGGGCCTGAATGTCGGAAGGCTGTATATAGACCCGCACACAGGGCAAATGGCGATACAACACAGAAGACTTAGATACACAAATTTAACATAAGACATAAAGATAGGTTGTCAGGCAACGGGCATACGCCTACAACAACTAAGTCATCGGAGGTAGCGGTATAGTTTGTTGTCGCATGTTTATTCTTTTGTAATTGGGAGTAGGTATATAGCTATTTATATAAGACACAGTTATATCATAATAGCGCCCTTTTTAGGGCCACAACGCATTTGAGTGTCCACAAGATTTTACAAGCAAATTAAGGACACTAACTCCAGAAGTAGTTAACAAAAATAATTGGTGAAATTCAATAAGATTCTTCGTTTGAATAGGACTAATGACTTTAAATTGAATACAACAGTAGGCGTATACAACACAAACGTTAATAAATTGAAGTGTAAATTTATTTTCTTATACATAGGCTACACATGTAAGATATATAAAAGACTAAAACCAACTTGTAAAATATAGTAAATATAATAAGAACATGAATTATATACGTTGTTAGCAAATACTGAATATAACGTCATTATATGATCATAGTCTTCGCGTTAAGTAATCTTCATTTTGGCTTGTTTCTATTAGTGATGTTATAGACTACATCTGGTTTAAGTCATCAATATTATAAAACTGTGTTTATACATAAATTTGATGTTTATAATCATATCTGGTGATTTATCCCATTTTATTAAACATACATTATGCAAGAGCTAAATCTGCCAATTTCAGGTCTTTCTTTAGGGCTGAAATGTTATCTAAATTATTAATTAGACATTAATTAACCTATCCAGGCCATAATCAACTCTAGATGGCAGCGCTAGCCTGCGATCTTTAGTGGATTGTAAGCCGATTTACTGCATAACTTTCCTTCTCGATTAAACGATTAAATGGATAATCGAGACTATGCTGTTTATCGTACTGACTTTAGTAATGATGACCGAGGCTTATGGGAAGTTCAGTCGCTTAGTTGTCGATTCATAGTGGATCAATTTGAATGAAATTTTCACCAAATTGCCTTTACATTATCTAGTTTTTAACGATTATAGTGAAAACTGCCAACTCGTTACCGAATCTCCCATAATGTATCTTTAATTATAATTATTGAAACTTTTACTACTCGGGTGTGCTTAATTACAGAATAACAAACTATCTATACCTTAAAATAATACACAAGTTTTACTTTTGAGATATATTCTATCGATCTAGCTTCTGTGTTCAGTAATTTTGATAATACTATATTACAAGGATTATATAATAAAACATATTCAGACAGCACCAATTTAAGCCTAAATAGTATATGCGTATTCCACCTCTCCTCCACGAGCTCTCAGCTCATCCAAATAGGTAAATGGATTTTGAAACTGAAAAGAAAGACAAAGAGATTTTAACCAATAAATAAACGCAAGTTCTAGTTATGTCATATTATGACCAATATAAGTATTTTCTCCACGGAAGATGATAAGAAGAATGTCGATTCCTCTGAATATTTCTACGTGTTATTTATTTGATCGATCAAACTGAAAAGGACTTGTCTGCGATATCACCTCGGTGGAAGCGGACGTAAAATACAACTAACTAACAACAACAAAAGAAGAGGACAATATGTCATACCCATTTATCTCCACCTTGGCAATGTCAAGCTTTCAGATATCTTATACAATGGGATAATTATAATTAATGACCAAAACCCATATTCTATTTAATCTGGAACGAGCGATGCGAGGATGTGATTAGTGGGTAGTTCGCATGTCGTTAACAATTAGCTGCATTCAGATACTTTCTGTAGCATTACAACTGGTATATGAATTTACTTTCACCAACAGATTTTTGCCAGGGCAGTGGTATAAAACCATGTCACGAAGTAGAAGTTAGTTTCGATGTGCAAAACGCCTAGAGTACAAACTGACCTTGATTCCTGTGATTTTGTAAATGCGCTCAATTATGGTGCCATACTATTAAACTGCCAAAAGTGTAATCTTGTTGACATTAGATTGTTTTTTTGCGCCATAAAATACAATTCTTGAAAAAAAATATAAACACCAAACAAACTTACTCTGGGTGTTGTTATGGGCGTATTGATGTCTTTAAAACTAAAACTATCTCTAAATCTGGTTGTAGACAAAATGGACGCCAATTCAGCATCTACAGTTACAGGTTGTCCTCTCTAGAAAACAAAAACAGTTGGTATCAATGAACTAATGGTGGAGATCTTAGATAGTTTTGAGACTAACATATGATTATTTAATTTGTCATATTAATTCACAACTAAGGTAATTACAGCATTCTGTTGAAGCACAATTAAAAACAACAACACGTATTTATACAGATGTTGTGACGAAGACATCAGCACTAAAATGATAATCAGATTGGGAGAATTAAATTCATTTGTGTCCATTTATCCACTTGTGCCCTATTTATCTGTATCATTTTTTATTACCCTGCGCTCCGCGTTAGATAAAATGAAACCACTTTACCTTGAATTCTGTATTGACGTCCCAATTAAACGTATCTTCAAAACCGAATATGTTTCCATTATACGTAACTTCGGCTGCTGAGCGACGAGCACCTGCAGGAATCTTGAACAATCTCCATTCAGCGCAAGCAAGTTGAACTTTATCTGTAAAGAAAAAGAATGACGTTAGTTAGTAGGTACACTGTAATGTTTTATAGGGTTGATTCTCTGAACAAATATTAGTATTGTTCTAGTTTTTCTCAGATCCCGAAACTACCAACTTGCATCAGAGCTGTTTGTTAGGTCCAATATTAGCATTGACCTAGTAGTTCAAATGGTCCTGGGGGGTTGGATGGCTGAATGGTTAGCGTGCGCGCGCTGTATCATAAAGTCTGTCATTGAGTCGACTGGCGTGGTTTCGAATCCCCGGTTGTACGTGGCAAGGAGTCGGGTCGCCTGTCCAACCTCGTGGGTTTTCTCCGGGTCCTCCGGTTTCCTCCCACTGCTAAAGACCCCTTATGTAAATTATGTAAATAAAATTAAACCATATGTTAGTCCCGAAATGACCTAGTTTGTGTCGAGTGGACGTTAAACCCCATTTCTCTCTCTCTCTCAAATGATCCTGATCCAGTGTGCGTCGCTAGAGCTGTTCGTTTGGTCTTTGGACAGGAAACATAACTTGGTCCTTTTCAGGATGCAAGCTGACAATCCCACGACGGAGAAGACAGAGTGTTTGAATTGAAGATAAAATATTTTTCGATCGATTACTTACTAACAGATTCGTGTATTTCCGTGTTTTTAAATTCCACAGGTGCCGCACCTGTCAGGTAGGGTTTCGAGAAACCACTTAATTCACACAGCCGGTTGAATTCTTCTAATACCATGGAACCTGTTGTACCCAAAGCTGAAAAATAACAATCGGTTAAAAGAATAGGGTCGAATGGAATCATTGATGGTATTATAATTGTTTCAGCGCCAACTTTCAACTTCAACTTTCAACTTTTTATTGCTAAGCACATATGCGGCGACAGATTGTACAGATTTTGGTAATTTTCTTGCCGGAAAATTAGCAATCGTCATGATGCAGTGTGTTGAGTGATATAAACACAGGACTGACTGCTAACCCCCGGTGACGCCGTTTGAATCGGTATTTTTAGTTACGAAACAAGCGACCTTAACAGAACACAATTTTTATGGGAAACAATCACTAAAGGCACACCGTTTCAACAAGTATCGTTATCAAGCACAATGATAACGTGTTTCCCGACGCTAAATGCCACTCAAAGATTAAGCAACCTTAGCCTGAATGTACTTAAGTAGACATAATAATAACAGTAAACTGAAAATTATGTAAATAAATAAGACTTATACGAATAATAAACACGTCGTTGTAAAAGTCTCGTGCATAAATAAAATGATAAATCAACCTTCGGTTGTTTCAAAAGAAAATGCGGTTCATTCGAGTCGCATGCACTAGACCCAGCCAAACCGGATATCCGAAAAACAGCATAGAGCGATTGTGCTTGTTGTGTAGACTAACGATTGTTTAAAAGTGGATTAAAATAAAGATCTGACTTGATTCGATTGAGATAAGTGTGACTTGTAGAGGTGTAACATTAATAAAATATATAAATATATGTGTTCAAAAAGACAAGGAAATCTGACAATGCATTTTCAGCATGTGGCAACTTACAAAACAATCTTGAATCAGCCATGACTTCAGCGGGTCTTGCTCTATCAGCATAAACATCACTTAAACAAAATTCCCCACCATCCTGAAATAAAGATAGGTTGTCAGGCAACGAAACATACACCCAGAGCAGCTACGTCGTGCACCCGGGTAACTAAAAAGAAAAATCTTTACACCGTAAAATGTCAATGAACCGTTGAGACGATTCTATGACATACTCAAGGGCAATAAAGCTATACGTAGTTAGTAGACCAAACAGTGCATATACAAACTAACTGAACTGGGACAATAACGCTGTAAATAATTGTCAAAATTCGACAGGATTGCTTCGTTTCAATAACCTGAACAATAAATTAAAATTTCAAACAGATTGGCTGATAACTAGCATTAACAAGATTTTAGCAGCAAATAACGCGAATTGGTGACATCCACGAGGTTTCTCCGTTTAACTAATTGAATAATGCATATCAACTTCAAACCTTGGTCGGAGGAGCCTTCACATGATTCCACAAAGTGATCAAGGGTATTAACTCTGCTAAATCAAAAGTATCTCTTTTTTTTCAGTAACGTAAGCAAGATATATTAATTTTAATGTTACAACGTTCTCATGCGAAATCTAGTCTCTAGAGTCTAGAGGGTTTACTGACAAGGGCAATATACGGCCAAATCTCCACGTAATTTCAATATCATTTAAAAAATCAGATGATCCTTGATGGTTATGCTGAAAATTCCTTCGATCTTTATAATTATTTTGTCTTTGATAAAGATAACAGAATTATTATATCTTTGTTTAACCCAGATCATTAACGACATTAACATATAAAAGAAATCATTTGGACCAGTGTGACAAAGTGCTTCATAACTTTTATCAAATATAAACTATATATACATATAATAGTAACATTAATATTAGTTACACTGAGCCACACATGTTGCTATAGATAATATAGGTTATATAGGCTACTGACCACAACATGTAATGGTTGTGTTTAATAACCGACTTGATAACTGCCCCATGTTATTGACGATGTATATATCACTAGCGTTTTAAGACCAGCCCCTCATTTGATGTTAATATCTGATTCCCCTCCTATTGGAAGGTAAGATCCATTATTGCCCGTAGTTTAAGACCAGCCCCTCATTAGATCTGATCCCCCTCCTGTTGGAAGGTAAGATCCGTTATTGCCCGTAGTTTAGAAACGAGCTGCTATGACAGAGGGGTGAAATGGTTGCTTTAAATTAGTTTATCCTCCTGGTATAGCCTTTAGTGATGCACCTTGTCTATGTTCTTATTTAGGTTCCTGTTTTATTTATGTTTCTGTGTTATATTCTTATTCCTGATGTAAATAAATTTTATATTTACAAAACCGATATTCTATTATACACCGATAGTGTTACACCAGGAACTACCCATCTTGCAGTTCGTGGAGACGATGCTCTCCGAAAAAAAGCCAAATGGTCCGCCAATGCATGTACGACTGGCATGACACTTAGCATGTTTGTTCCTGGGACAATTGTGCATCGATTGACAGATTTCGAGTTTTGGTATGACATCACAATTCTAACATGGCTGCGATGACGTCATCATATTCAGTTCTGGGTTTTATTAACTTACCATCCAAAATAAAAACATCAATTTTGTTTACTCACTTTGAGCAGTCTATAGGCATTTTTGAAAACAGCTTCCTGGTCTGGGCACAGACAAAGCACTCCATTAGACCTATAGTAATCAAGACAATCGATAATCGATATAGGCGAATATAGATAACCATTAAACGATTCTCTAACAATTTTAATTATCAAATAGAGATAACATACAGCATGAATATGTGCTTATATAAAGGGATAGTGTGTTGAAGAACCTTCCAGAAATGCAGCATACCGAAGTTTGTTGTTGTAGCATACCGGAGCTTGTCGTTATGAACTCTATAAATACTGGTGTAGTCATATACATTGAACAAGGTAGGAAAGCAATGGGGCCGAGCAAGAAGTACACTGAATTACACATCTCTTAAGCTATCCTTAAACAAACTAAATTATCTCAAAACTCGTTCTCTGGCATGACTTTTTGTGCTATTTTTTCCAACCTCTTGATATGCACAAAAATTTTTTTATCTAGGATAATTAATCTTAACTCATTGTTGATTGGTCCATTTGAGTGCATTCGGCTTACAAGTCTGTGCTGAAAACATGACTTGGGTTTGTTAACGGAAGGTTATAGTTTTGATTAACAATTATTAGAGATACTGTTCACGATAAGAATTTGTTTGCAAATCAACGGTTGCGAAAATAATACAATCATTCATGGTCAGACGAGAACAAGTTTTTCGGGGAATATAATATGTTGTTGAAGAATGTCTTTGAGACTAGTGTACTCTTGGCTATAGTCCTTCATTGCTTACTTATTAATACCTATCCATCTTAAAGATCTCGTTTCAATAGTTTTAATATAGTGACAACGACTAGAAAATAGTACCTCGCGAAATGAGCTAATGAAGACGGGCATGCGTCAAGCAGTGTGCTACGGCGGAAAGGTTGTTCGGTTTGTTTTATGCTCTTAGGGCCCTCTAATTTCCGTACCATTCGACCCACTTGAAATTGTTCCTTGCCACGGTCTTCTTCCTACACTACCGCCAAGGAGAAGCCACGCTGGACTAGCCACCACCGGGATGAATACGGAGACCTCCTTCTTAGTAAGGCGGATGAGACGAAAAACCGAGGTCCCGTGTTCACATTGGCGTGCTCGTAAAAGATCCCTTGATAGTTGGAATTCGATATAAGAGTAGGCCGTAGTGCCGCTGTCAGGGCAAAATTTCCCCTCATAGCACACTGTATGGCGTATACCCGCCTTCATTAGCCCAGTTCGGAGCAGAACAGTAGGACGTTAAACCCCATTTCATTTCATTTCATTTCTTAGTGAGGCACTATCCTTACTCACTAAGCCACCGTGGTTTTTACCTCACGAGTAAAGTCTAGCTCACAACCCGCGTACGTATTTCGACACGCATAGGTCGTAGGGTTTGGTAGCTCGTAGACCAGCCGCAAGAACCGGATGAAAATGTTTTATGTGCAGGACCAAAAGTCTTTACAGCCAGTCCGCGATCCTCTATAGTATAGTGCGGAAAACACGCAAGTGATGCGTAAGACTCTCGCACGGGTTAATTAAAATTCTCCCGTAGACTGCCGGTAGTATACGTAGGGCTGGTTGTGAGTCAGGCTTTAGACTGAAAATACCAATGTACACCCACCGGCTGAATATCTCTTTAACACGCTTCGTTGATAATGGCTGGTTTTTTTTTTAAAAAATGTTCTACTATAAATAAATACTTAACGAGTACAACTTGAGACGATAGCTGAAACATGTTTTTTCGCTACAAGGGAACAAAAGACCACACTGTCAAGTTATACTTCTATCAGATCAGTAGATCACCGTTCACTGCATACCAAGGTTAATAAAAGGTCAAAATCATTAGAGCGTTTCAGAAATGAAATCCAATACAATTGGCTCAGAGCTGTAAATCAACACATTATTTCGGCGATTTTCATGCTAATTTTCATTTTAATGTTTACGTCTGCAATGCAAAGGGGGATTTTGTCCAACCGCCAATGCCTACACGGGCTAATTACCTCGGCTTTTCGTTCCATCCAAACGACTAGACACACTTTGTTTGTCTTTAACAAATTAACACGCCGACTATGACGTTATTGGGGGGGGGGGTATATAAATAAAGCAGTGTACACAGTATTAGGGATTTTCTTAGTTCCACCTCCCAAGCCCAGTAAAGTACTTACACAATGACGTCAAATTCTTGTTCTTTAAATCCAAGATCATCGAACTGTTCAATATTACAAACTTTGAACTTAAAGTTAGCCTCCGTGTATCCCCACAGTTCTTTATGATAATTCGAATGTTTCTTGGCTTCAAGAATCTGTCAAAAGAATCAATTTTAAGTAGTTGCATGTATATTTGTTCATGTCAAGGAAGTCGCAAAACTCAAAATATTTAAATTTGTGTTTTGTTTCTTCACATCGGATCGGTTTATGCGAGTGGTCACGTCAAGGGTAATGTAAGTGAGAGAGAGAGAAATGGGGTTTAACGTCCACTCGACACAAACTAGGTCATTTCGGAACTAACATATGGTTCAATTTTATTTCCATAATTCGCTTGCGCGTAGGGGTCTTTAGCAGTGGGAGGAAACCGGGGGACCCGGAGAAAACCCACGAGGTTGGACAGGCGAACCTACTCCTTGTCACGTACAACCGGGGATTCGAAACCACGCCAGTTGACTCAATGATAGACTTTATGATACAGCGCGCACGTGCTAACCACTCAGCCATCCACCCCCCATGGTAATGTAGGTGAACTTTAGTCTCAATCACTGGACTCCCAGAATTCCGTGCACATATTTCATAGAGTTCGACAGAAAAGACAATTTAATTGGCTAATTCCCCACATCAAACCGGATACTGTTTATTTAAAAGCTATTCAAGTATATACAAAACGAAACGAAAATTCAAATTTCCCAGATCGTGTACAGAATTTTAAATTTTATAAAGTGGAAACTCCGCCCTATATTGATTTTTCAAAGATTTGTGCAAGTGTTAATATATAGTAAAATTCATAATTTTGGGATATGAACAAGGCGCTGTCAAACATACCAAATTAGGAGTGATATCAACACCATCCACGAAACCATCCTTTCCCACCAGCTTACTCAATATATAGACGAGACTACCTGATCCACAGCCCATATCCAATACTCTTAAACCACCCACTTTTTCAGGTATAAAAAATCCTGAACCATAATACCTGGAAAAGAGACATAAAAAGGTTAGGATGAAATGCCTTTAGGGAAATGAGAGAGAGAGAAAGAGAGAGAGAGAGAGAGAGATGGTTCAATGTTATTTCATTATTCCGCTCGCTCGTATTGGTTTTTACTAGTTGTAGGAAACCAGAGGATCCGTAGAAATCCCACACGGTTCGACAAACGACCCTACTGCTACGTGACTAAATGCCAGACCTTGTGAACTATAATCGCACACTATCTAAAACAAGTAGGGATGGATTGGGTTTCCTTGGGCCATGATAGCGGTGAACAATTTTTGTACAATTAGAAAACGAAACTAGCTTGATACTCCTAGAATTTAGGCCATTATATTTTTTGTATTGAATCTGAACCGATGGGCCGACCCCTGATCCCGATGCTTCTCGGACCACGTCTGACGACCCGAGGACCAATCCACCCCCGAAAACAAGGATTGGTCTGCTGTGTATACCTTTTCATGGTTTCAGGATGAAGTTGACTTATAAGTTCATTATATTTTTGTGATATCTGATTTTTATTTACAGCACACACAAAGTTCATATTGATAGCCACGTCATTGTAGAAATTTTTCACAACTGTAGTTAATTGGTGTTCCGCCATTTTTGCTGAAAAATAAATGTTTTGAGAAATAAAAACAAATTGTACAATTTCATATTGAGAATATCATTTTACGAACTAACGTCAACGCTGTATGAATAAGGAAATGAAGAGAGGATGCGAGGCAACGAATTATACGCAGCTAAGTCGTCCGGCAGTAAACAAAGGTTGTCGCAAATTTATTCTTTAGTAGGCAATCTGAGCATTTACATGTACAACAATCCAGACACTGCTCAACAGGAACAACCCATGAACTAATAATCAGAAATAATTCAAATCGAAATTTCATTTATCAATAATTTTATCAATTTTGAATAAAATCATTTTGGATATGGCGGGTAACCCACACACCATTCCTTGTCGATCAGTTTTTTAGAATACTTTGTCATCGATGATTTTATGTTTGAAGTTTCATATTACAAAGAACCGACTGTGTCTGACCATCACTGGACAATTATATATTTCCCCAGAAATTAGTGCATACTTTTGCATGATGGTCAAAGATTTTGACCTTTATGCCGTCCGACTTTTAGACGCTTCCGTTAATAGCTGATTCAGAAACGCAAACGATCTTTAAGCTAGATTAAGTTTGTTGTCTGAACGCAAAGGTGGGGCAAATAAACATATGGTGGCTAAAAGCGCCCGTTTAGATTGTCGTGTTTCCAGATGTAACCCAGAAAACGACGTTGTGCCAGCACAACAAAAATCGCCATGATTGACGACGTTTGTCGATTTCGTAGAGTGTTACATCTAGAAATGGAATAGGGTTTAGCGTCCTACTGTTCTGCTCCGACTGGGTTTTTGAAGACGGAGTTTGTTACATCTGGAAATACGACGTTCTGAATGGAAGCCTCCAACCACAATGAAAAACAGCCTTTGAGACGGCTTTTGTTCTAAGCAGACTAATCTGGACGGGTTGGCTGAACGGGTGGACTCTAAATATTAAGGTCAACTGCAGATTAGGGTTATGGTTAGTGATAGCCCTGTTAAAATTGCCAGCTTCCGATATATTAGGGCATGTGCATTTCAGTATTGTAAAAATCTGCGACTTCAAGTAGAATATACCCGTGTGTAATTAACTATGTACCGTAATATAGTACACATCAACTCTACATTCTCCTGGGGCCTGTTTCACTAAATTTTAACTAAGATAAAATCCAAATTTTAGTAATTTGATTGGATAATATTAAATTGATTTTAGTGCTTGGCCAATCAAAATTGGAGTATCTACTCAAATTGGATTTTACCTTTAGTTAAGATTTCGTGAAACAGGTCCCTGGTTTTCGGCGTGTGTGAAATACATGTATCTTTATTTAACGCCCACTTAAACTAAGTTATATACCACGGCCCGCTGAATAACGCATGTTCTCATCGTAAATATTTAAACGCTAGATAGTTTAATATAAAAGTTCAAGGATTTCTACTATGTAGGTTAAAACAGGTGAAGTAGGCCTACATACGCCACATAGGCTTGTTTGTGATACACATAGAAAGAAGAAATATGACCCATTATGTCACAGTAAAGGATACATTTTTATACACATTTTCATGTGGATGTATATTGTCGTCGCCCCTATCCGTCCGGACGTCCGTCTACAATTTGTTTGTGGACACTTTCGAAATCGGCATGTACCGGACCGTAACTTCATGGATTATGGCCTCTGATTGTACAAAAAAATCCCGTTTTTAGCTTGTGGTACCTCTAGAAAAGGTCACAATTTTTTAGATTTGATAATCAAGTCTGCTAGTAAATCACTCCTACAACGATTTCTTTCGGTGGACAATTTTATTTTCATTTCCGATAATGAAATACAGTTAATATCTGGATGAAATATATTACGGATATAAATAGGGACAATATAAATATTTTCAAAGGAGAATTTGATAGAACCATGAACAAAATATCCATGACACATATTTTTCCCGACAAAAACAGTTCGCTCACAGGGCCGACCCACCATCTTCAAAATAACGTAAATTTTAAACACTGTATACATGTACTATGACACCATAAAGTAGTGAGCAGAATGTTACTCTCACGGTGGCTATAATGGTGTTTTGGTAGGGAAAATATTACGTTAAACATGTGATATTGACCTTTAAGTAGCCCCGATTATCCCATTTCACTGATTTAAGTGTAAACTATAATGTTGTATGCTGTAGAGATTGGATTGCTGCACAAAGTAAATATTTAATATATTGTCAACGCAGGGACGAAGTACAATTTATATCCAAAGTATAGGCGCGGATTTTGGCCATGAAACTTAAGTGCCACTGTGAGACAGTTACATATTATGCGCCACTATCTGGAATTTTTTTCGCACCTATGGCGCTCAATTCCATTATGTCATCATTCTTCCACTCCGCTGGGGTCTTATACTATCTCGTCACTATCATGTTCCCGATAATAGTTAACCGTCCACTTAGTGCCACTAGTGAATGAGTCGTGGGGCGACAGACTGTGCAAATGTTCTGTCCACTCTCACAAAACAGGTGGAACTGACAAGCAGGTCTCGAGATTCTGTGCACGTAAAAGATCCCTTGGCAGTTGGAATTCGATATAAGAGTACACAGTAGCGCCGCTGTCAGGGCAAATTTTCCCTCATAGCACACTACATGGCGTGTGTTCTAATATGCTAAGTTCTATTATGTATTTGTCTATAATGCAAAATGCAGAATTGAAAAGTGTAATATGCAAAATAACTATCTAGTGCGCTGTATTTTGTGTTATTGAAAAGTGTATTCTGTATTTTAACACTGTGGCGTTGGTATTGTGGAGCAAAGGAAATTGCAAATTGTAAAACTAAAATACGTATTTTGAACTGCCTCCTGCAGCGAGCATTTGTTTCAAATACTGATTATAAACGGGGATTTCTAGAGTACATTCAGATTTTGTTAGCTTACGCACAAATTTAGAGTGGGGTTTAATGTCCACTCGACACAAACTAAGTCATTTCGGCACTAACACATGGTTCAATTTTATTTCAATATTTCGCTTGCGCGTAGGGGTCTTTAGCAGTGGGAGGAAACCGGAGGACCCACGGGGTTGGACAGGTGACCCACTCCTTGTCACGTACAACCACGCAAGTTTACTCAGTGACACACCTTATGATAAATGCATATGCAATCAGTGTGATGTAAGGACAATATTATATTGTCCAGCTATACAGCGGCGGTGCTACGGCCATCTCCCATTTCCAACTCTCAAGGTTTTTCCAATAAAGATAATTTTCGTGTAGTTCTAGGCCTACAGATGCTAGGTCATATTTTTGTATCGTTCTGAATATATATTAATGGATATGATACGCGAAATGCGAAAACTTTTATGATTAAGATTACAGGGAACAGCAAAAAAAAACAAAGAAAAACTTACCAGTCTCAGTGTGGGTTATAGTATCTCAAGTGCAGCCGCAGTGTGGTTTACAGTAGACTGCTTCAAGCGTGGCTTGCAATGTATTAAAATGTTATATTTAGACTGATTTATAGTATGGAGGAATGTGAAGGTTATTGAGGTGTACGGGAGTTTTTTTGACAGCCATGGGTGATTTTGTCACGGTTATCCTATTAGTGGGGGAGAGGGGGGGGGCGTGCATGGGTATTTTGTTTTCATTTCAAATTGATGCAAAAGTTTTGTTTTCAGGCATCCGACAACGCATATATTTGGTACGGCCCAAATCCCAGGACATTGGCAGAATGGATCGATGCAGCCATGGGGAAGCACGTACGTTGATGCACGAAGTGCCATCCCTTATGGAACAATTTGCAACTACTGTCAACACCCCATTCCAATACAAACATTGTCAAGGTTAAAAGAAGTGGCAACAAACTTTTTCTGTAGACTGTACTCAAATGAATCAAACGAGGACAATGATGTTATACCTCGTCCGATTGAGGTTGTTTTCACAGAAATGAAATGAAATGAAATGGGGTTTAACGTCCTACTGTTCAGCTCCGAATTGGGCTAATTATGAAGACGGGCATACGCCATACAGTAACGTGTGCTATGAGAGAAATTTTGCCCAGACAGCGGCACTATGGTCTACTCTTATATCGAATTCCAACAACTGTCAAGGGATCTTTTACGTGCACGCCAATGTGTACACGAGACCTCGGTTTTTCGTCCCATCCGAACGACTAGACAGCTGTCCTTGTCAGGCCCTCGGTCCTGCATCATTGACAAGGGGGAACCACGCCGGAAAATCTGGATGAACTTTCTCGGCCGATGCAGGGATCGAACACCCTACCTCCAGGCTAGCGAGCCAGCGTCTTGCCCACTTAGTCACCGTGATCCCCCTGTTTTCACAGAAGACTAGGGACGTGGAGAGAATCCCCCAACTAGTGGTGCTTTAGATCAACATCCAAATTTGAAAGTATAAGACAGATGAATGCATATTTAAATATTCCTTTATAGCTGAAAGCTTTAAAATTTTACCATAATTAAAGTTGCGTTCCCGGGAACAAACTGGGTGATTAATGATACATTTGGACTAAAAACATATTCAAATGAATTAATCTAAAGGGGGGGGGGGGTTGGGATGGCCTAGTGGTCTAGAGTGTCACGCTTCGACCTCTAGTTGGCCGGTCACCTCTGGCTTGCGGCTGTGGTTTCGATCCCAGGTGTGAGCGTATGTGGCTTGGAGATAGGGGCTCCTTCTCAACCCGGAGGAGAATTCATTGCACATACAGGATGATGTTGTCGCTGTCCATTTATTATAAATATCGAAGCCTAATCAATTCTCGGATTATCCACTGTCCACGTTTTTTCCGTGTTTGTTTAATCTCAGAAACTGTTTTACGTTAAAGCTCACCGCTGAGAAATCAGACAATCTTCGCGAGCAACCTTTGACATCACTCGAACACGAGTCGAACAGGCATCCCTAATCCTGTATGCGCTCCGGAGGTGTTTTTCAGGGAATCCAGTATTTTTCTAGTAAGATTGAATGTTCCTACTTTTCATATAAACCAAAATTGCCATACATTTATTGGAAATAACCACCCGAT